CAAGGATGCTCGTCACTTCTTTCTTGTATATACCAATTAAATGCACCTCGTCGTCCACCCAAACATACTGTACCTGTTACTTTCTACCATTTTTGTTATCACATGTTTCATTAAAACCAAATCACATGACTTTTTTGATGCGTCTGTTGGAATTCATTTAGTAATTGCGTTTCCATCGTAGTTTGTGCATTTTTGTAATTCGATAAAAAGTTTATCCTACTCAATGTTTTAAGCACATCTTGGCGTTTCCCTCCAGGATTTTTAATGCTGTTCCTCTTCACACCCTTGCTATTTAAGGCAAAAACAAGGATCCTTACAAAACAAACGCAACATTAGCCATGTTTCTATCTTAAGATGTGAATTCTATTTATGCGCAAAACTGGAATATCGCTTAAAACATTTGCAAATAAAGCACCGTTTCCATTTAACGAGTGCAGGAGAACAAAATCGTCACTTCCTGATGAACTTGCGCCAAATATCAAAAGAAAAATGGAAGTTGCTGCGTTAGTAGAAGGCATTTTTCATATATAATAACTTACTAGCGTCTTAGAACATGTAGATGTATCATATCGTAGTTATATCCTTTTACAATCATCGCCGCTCGCATATCTAGGAAGATTTGCTTGTTCCTCTGATGTTTTCCATCTGGGATGCTCGTCCCTTTTTTTTGTTGTATATAACATTTAAAAATATTTGCACGACATCGCCCACCCAAACATACTGTACCTGTAACTTTCCGCCATTTTTGTTAACACGTGATCTGTTAAAACCAAATCTCATGACTATTTTTGATGCGCCTGTTGGAATTTATTCAGCAAATGCGTTTCCATTGAAGTTTATGCGCATTTTTTTGTTATAAATAAAAAGTAAAAAAAAAAATTTAAGTGCATCTTGCTGTTTTTTTTCCAAGGTTGTTTATGCGATATTCCCAATTCGCAGCTAGAAATGCATTAAACGTGCAAGAGCAGCAGTGTAAAATTCCTTCTTGGAAGTGGAGTTGATCCTTTCTACATTAAAATGCTTGAGTTAATACAAATGCATTAGCAGTTCTTCTCTCAGTTTATTCGTTTCTTGTGAAACTATGTGTCCTCCAGAGACCTAAGCCCAGGCCCGAGGCGGTTTCCCCAGCCCAGACTCCAGCGCGCCGCTGTGCCGGTCTGACGGAGAGCTGCTCTTCGCTCACTCCCTGCTGCGATCCATGTGCTTCCTGCCACTGCCGGCTCTTCAACACCATCTGCCACTGCTGGAGACTGGGACACCTTTGCCCCAAGAAGACCTAATCACCCCAAACACGCACACGTATACTTACTTATTGGTGGTTCTCAGCTGCTTTTACTTCAGCGTTGATTGCGCAATACATGTGCTTTATCTTGCAACAACAAAAATGGTTTTACACATACAGTTGAAATCAGAATTATTAGCTCCTCTGTATATTTTCCCCCCAATTTCTGTGTATCGGAAACACGTTTCTAAACAATACTTTCAATAACTAATTTATAATTCAACTTTTATCATTGCCATAATGACAGCACATAGCTGCAAGCTTTGAGTGACATTACAAGGCTTAGAATCATTATATAACAGTGTTTTGATCTGTAGACATTCAAAAAGTAATATTTCTTAAGGGGGCCAATAACGTTGAGCCTTTTTTAGGGTTAATTTTTAGGGTTTCATTAAAAACTGCTTTTATTTTAGCCAATATAATTCAAATAAGACTTTCTCAAGAAGAAAAAAATATTATAGGAAATACTGTGGAAAATTCCTTGCTCTGTTAAACAACATTTGGAAAATATCTGAAAAAGAAAAGTCACAGGAGAGCTGAAAGTTTTGACTTCAGTTGTATGTCACTGTTAGTCTGGTAACACATTCCATCAAGGTTCCATTGGGAAAAACTCGAGTTAATGTTAATCCAGCTTGTACTAATGCATTACTCAAATTTAAAAGTTGACTTAACTTTACCTGACAACAAACATTTTTTATTATTGTGCATTTAAACTAACAGATGCTTGTTGTGTTACCATAAAGGTTAAAAAATATCAACTGTTTTTTATATCTAACAACAGCTGTCTAAGCTGATTAGCTTGAACCAATATTAATTTGTGGCAAAATGCTGAATGAAGAATGATTTCTAAAAGTTCCAAGTTGAACTTGGGCGGGGGGAGGGGGACTCCTGGGAAAAACAGGAGTGTTGGCAGGTATGGTTTACACAGACGATAACAGTAACGTTTGATATAAAAAAAACCCCACATTAATTAAACATTACCCACATTAAAACCGTTATTGTGAACATAAACAAAACAGATCACTTTCTTAACCTAAATACATTCAGTTGTATTAACAAACCTACTTTGTATGTGGTAAATCATTTAGAACGCCTACGTTTAATGTGTATTACCAAACACAATCTCACAGCAATTCGTAGTTGTGGTTAATTTGTATTAATTTGTATGATCTCATTTGTACATTTTAGTATGATTTGCTCACCTCCCAATAAGGGGTAGGATTTGGGGTGGCATTTGGAGGTATGACTCCTTTAAAAATCACAGTTTTCATATGAATTAGCCAAGTATTTTAGCATTTACTGATTGAAATAAGGCGAGGCAGTGGCGCAGTAGGTAGTGCTATCGCCTCAGCAAGAAGGTCGCTGGTTCGAACCTCAGCTCAGTTGGCGTTTCTGTGTGGAGTTTGCATGTTCTCCCTGCCTTCGCGTGGGCTTCCTCCGGGTGCTCCGGTTTCCCCCACAGTCCAAAGACATGCGGTACAGGTGAATTGGGTAGGCTAAATTGTCCGTAGTGTATGAGTGTGTGTGTGTGGATGTTTCCCAGAGATGGGTTGCGGCTGGAAGGGCATCTGCTGCGTAAAAACTTGCTGGATAAGTTGGCGGTTCATTCCACTGTAGCGACCCCGGATTAATAAAGGAACTAAGCCGACAAGAAAATGAATGAATGAATGATTGAAATAAGTAGCAGTTGAAGATTCCAGCCTGATCTCACGAGGTTACGTTTTGTCAGTTTAGTGGCTAATTTGTAAGAGTTGAGTCGTATGAAAATGTACGATTTTAAAAAGGAGAAGTGGCACACAACCCCACCCCTAAACCCAACCGTCTTTGGGTGATGAGCAAATCGTACTAAATAGTACAAATTAGATTGTATGAATTCATACAAATTAGCCACTAAATCTAAAAGTTACGAATTGCTGTGAGATTGCGTTGGAGGTTCAGGCAGTGAGAATCAACATCATCATTGCTGTTTAATTAAATATTTTACATTGCTGTAAAAATTAAATATTTAAAAATAAAAACATTTCACAATTAGGATCCATTTGATAACATTAACATTAACTAACATTAATTAAAACCGTATTATAAAGTACTACAGTAGCATTTTATTGAGAAATACTTTCAGAACCTCCATAAGAGAACCACTGCAATGTATCGTACACGCCACTCTGCAGCAGCAGAATTTACCTCCATGTTTGCACACCCTAATACTGCAATGTAGCATGACATGGATCATACATGACATTTAACTGTGTACAATCGATGTGAACTTCCATACGACTCGAGTTATTCGCTCTCTCTGTGCACCATGACACTATTGTGACTCCTTTGCCAGCTGGAGATGTTATTAAAGTGAACTCTTGTAGGATTCACGCTGGCAAAGTTTAGGTTTTGTTATTACTCTCGATATTTTTCAAACCTTGTAAAGCGAGGAGCATATCTACAGTTAAGTAGACCTGTGTAGAGATGCTGTTTCAAAATGTGCAGTAAATGTGAATCTGATGTTTTTCTCATACTGTGATCTTTTACTAGTACGATTTGAGATGCTTGTTTCTACTGTGATGACTCTACTGTAACCTCTCCATGTTTTCACTTTCTACACAAAACAACGTTCGTGTGGATGTCAAGCAAATGCATAAGTGTGAATGGAAAAACCTCTAGTATTATATATTTCTATCCATTGTCAGGTCATATTGACCGAATATTATTACTAAACATAAACAAACAAAAGCGTTCAATGTCCTCTCAACAGATTTATTTGTAATAAAAACATTTAGAACTGCTTTATGAGAACTTTCTTCAATGAAGCTCTAAAAAAAAAAAAAAATCATGAAAGTCATGATTTTATTTGTTTGGTGCCAAACGGGTTTAAATAACTATGCCACATAATTGTTTTTTTTTTACCAACCCTAAAACAAAAACACATGGGAAAGAGTTACAAAGCAATAACAATGCAAGGGTGTCTGTTTGCATAAAACTCGTAGACGTGCTGTATTTAAGAGAATGAGATGAAAAAAAATGCCCTCAATTGTCTCCTGGGTTAACCGGTCGCAAACTGACCTATATGGTCTCATAGGTGAACCTGTCGGAGATCGGTCACGCATACCTGCGCTCTCAAGTTCAAGGCAGTAGTTCAAATCAGTAAATCTACCCACCATACAGGCAAAGTTCATCTCAAGCAAGAACAAAGGGGTGTCAGTGAGTTTGAATTAAAGGGGACACATCAAGCCCCTTTTCATAAGGTGTCAAATAAATCTTTGGTGTCCCCAGAATGGACAGTGAAGTTTCAGCTCGAAATACTAATAAGATTAGTTAGTACCTAGTCAAACCTCCCTCTATTTTGTTTTTCTGTGTGACCTTTTAATATTCAAACTGACATCTAGACTGGACCAGGACTTTACTGATGGGTTAGTGTTTACATTTATGTCATTTTTGACTGCTAGCATGTGACATTCTCTGTTCTGAGGCCTGCTGCATGAAGCTGGTGTTACGGTTTAACTGGTGACCATGTTAACTGGTGACACACTCCAGGGACGTTAACCGGTTTCAAGGTTTACCACACTTAGGAAAAGTCAAGGTTTTAAAACCCCAAAAATGTTTTGTTATAGCATTTCTAAGGTACAGTTGTAGTCAGAACTAATAGCACCCCTGAATTATTAGCCCCTTTGTTTATTTTTTTCCCCAATTTCTGTTTAACGGAGAGATTTTTTTTCAACACATTTCTAAACAATAGTTTTATTAATTCATTTCTAATAACTTATTTCATCTTTGCCATGATGACAGTAAATAATATTTGACTATATATTCTTCAAGACACTTCTATACAGCTTAAAGTGACATTTAAAGGCTTAATGTGTTTTTCAAACAAATGAAAACAGCAGAAGTCAATGATTTATTTGAATTATTTAGCCTGACATGTTTACTGTTCCAAAATATTATGAATGTTTCCTAAAATAAAGTATATTGTGTTCAAAGCGGTAAAAGGTTTTTTTTTTTTTTTACCCAGACATTTTAAAAGAACATATTGTAGAGCAGTAATCACAATACCATGAATCCGTGATATTTTTATCTAAGGATATCATACCATATGAAACTTTTGCCATGCCTACTCCAGAAGTTAAATAGTTACATTTTCACATTCTTGCCAGATCATATCTACAAAATATTCTCATAATAATTATATCTTTTTATTAATTGACGGCATTGGCATTATTGTGTCAATAATGAGTTTTTCATTATTTTTAGTGGCAAAAGAGCATTAAACTAAAAAAATAAATAAAGCAATAATATTAATTACAACCCCAAATCAAAATGAGCTGGGACAGTACGGGAAAATAAAAAAAAAATAAATAAAAAAAGTCATTTCTAAATTTACTTTGACTTGTATTCCATTGCACACAACACAACAACACATTATTTAATGTGTTCCTGATGATTTATATAGTTTTTAGTTTGTGTTTTTTTTTTTTTTTTAATGCTAATTCCAATTTTGGTTCTTGCAACACATGTAAATAAAAATAAAATAAAAAAAGTTGGAACAGTAACACATTTACCACTTTTTAATGTTTCCATTACTTTACACAACACTTAAAGGGTGTTTAGGGACTGAAGATGAAGTGTTTCAAGTGTAATTGTGTCCCATTCTTACTGCAAACAAGTTTTAAGAGGACAAGGAAGCAATTTACACAACTATAAGAGCAACAATGAATAAGTGCTGTAGGCAAGTTTCAGGTATGTAAAGTGTAAGAAGTAAAACATTAGTAATTTTTTTTTTCTGTAGTACAGTTAGCGGTGGAGCCAGAGAGGCAAATGCAGATTAGGAAGTGAAGTGGAGACTAAATAGTTGAGTTTTAAGTCGTTTCTTGAAGACAGCGAGTGACTCTGCCGTTTTGATGCAGTTAGGGAGTTCATTCCACCAACTGGGCAGATTGAATGCGAGAGTTCGGGAAAGTGATTTCTTCCCTCTTTGGGATGGAACCACGAGGCGACGTTCATTCACAGAACGCAAGTTTCTGGAGGGCACATAGATCTGCAGAAGTGAGAGCAGATAAGAAGAAGCTGGATTTTGACCCAGTTTAAATGATTTTGGGTATACCTAATGGAAGAATTTTTTCATCAGATAATAACAAATTGTATAATATATTAACCTTTACCGCCAGAAAACAATATTTTACTTAACTGGATTAGTTAAAAATCTCCATCACTTAAAGGTCGGCACAAGATAATTTTTAAGTTTATCCCCCTGAAACATCTATGTTTTACACAAAAAAAAAAAAAAA